TTTCAGGAACTTTCATCCACAAGGGTTTTTTAAAAAATGACACTTGTTATCAGTTTTCACCCCAGAAGCTATGTTTATCTGCTAATATTTATCAAAGCACTCTCACAGGTAATGTGCCACTCTCAGTGGTCATCAGAGAGCTGCTTTGGGCTTGTGGACCGTGTTTAATAAAGATAGAACTGATCAAAGTGCCAAGAATAGGTGTGTATTAGTCAGGGTTCTCCAAAGAAACAGAACCAGTAGAATGAATATATATGTATAGAGATTTATCAGTTTAGCTCACAGGATAGAGTCTGAGTAGTCCAACAATGGCTGCACCACACTGGAGAGGCTGAGAGTCCATAGTCGCTCAGTCCACGAGGCTGGATGTCTCAGTAGTCCCAATCTGGCAGTGAAGGTCTGACGAATTCCAAAAGATCAGCTAGTCTTCAGTCTACAGCAGCAAGATGAACTCACCAGCGAGAGAGAAGGCAAGCTGCACGAAGTCTGGTGTTTTCCTCTGCCTTGGCCTTTTATACCAGCTGCCATCAAAAGGTAATACCCACATTTAGGGTGTGTCTTCCGGCTTTAGATGATCCAATCAAGAAGATCTCTTTCATTTCAGTTAATCCCAGATCCAATCAAGTTGACACCCAGGATTAGCTATCACAAGGTGTTAGCCATAAAAGGGAAGCAATATAACACTCCCTCCCCTTAAGGCTCAGAGAACATCATGGAAGAGGGAACAGAAAGATTGTAAGAGCCAGAGGTCAGGGAGGACGAGCAAAACAGTGACTTCTGGACATGAACTCACAGCAGCCGCAGTTGCCTGCCCAAGATCAAGCCAGTCAACATTGTAGCATGGAAGGGGGAGGGGCTCATGATCCCCACTCCTAGCTGAGAAGCTATTGACTGTCAATGGCTTCTGGGGGAGAGTCAGCTTTAATTAAGGGCATGGCCTCTGGTAAGTCAACTGTGCTCCTGCAGATGGCTCCATACACATGCCTATGTGAGCAGCACAAACTAGACTTGGTGGCTCATTAAAAAAGAGAAAAGAAAGAAGAGGATATGAAGTTGGGAAGGAGTGAGGAGGTAGGAGAACTTCAGAGGAGTTAGGAAGAGAAGTAGAGGTGAATATAATCAAAATGCATGGTTTAAAATTTTCAGTTATTAAAAAATACATTTAAAAACAAAATAAAGAACATGTGCACCATAGGAAAGAAAAAGAGTAAGGAAGTAGATGCTGCTCTAGAAAGTAAGAAGCTATAAACTAAACTAGGGGTCCAGGAAAGCTGACCTGTGAGAATTACCATCAAGCGATTGGGTTAATTAGGTTTTTCACTGTTGTGACCAAATACCTTAGAGAAACCATTTAAAGGAGGGAGGATTTATTTGGGCTCAGTTTTAGGGCATGGTGAGATGGTTCCTTTGCTTCTGGGCCACAGTGAGGAGCATCATGACTGATGCTCCTGGTGGCCTAGAAGAAGACACAGGGGTACCAGGGACAATGTCCCTTTAGGGATATACCCTCAGTGATCTACCTCCTCGAGCTAGGCGCCACCTCCTAAAGTTTCCAGTATCTCCCCAAATAGCACCATTGGCTGCAGACCAAGTGTGCAACACATAAGCCTTTGAGAGGACATTTCATATCCAAACCATAACATTGGCATTTTAAGAATCAGTTAGAGGAAAGGTTTAGCTTCTAAATCCTTTGATCAGTCGTTTCTTTTCCTCTTCCCTAGCTCAGTGCAATGCTTTACTTGAGCACACAATCAATAGTAGAAGTTTTCCATTGTTGATGGTAGCATGTCTGGAAAAGCAAGGGTTCTACTCTCCCAAGCAGTCTAATTTGAAATCTTCTCATAAGCCTGTATTCTGCTTTTTCAACATTACTTGTTAAAACCAAAAGACATTTGTGTTCTAATTTGATGTGTATGAGTGTATTGCTTGCATATAAGTGTACCCATATAGTACAATGCCCTTGGAGGTCAGAAGAAGGTGTGGATTCCCTAGAACTGGAGTTAGGGACAGTTGTTAGCCGCCATATGGGTCCTGGGAATCAAACCCAGATCCTCTGCAAGAGCAGCCAGTGCTCTTAACCATGGAGCCATCTCTCTAGCCCAGAACCTTGGTTCTTAAAGTAGCAACTAGTAACACTGGTTATAATTTTGCCTAGTATAGAAAAAGAAAAGTTTAGATAGTAACATGATTCATCCCCAAATGAAACTCTAGGTCAAGGAGCGTAGGAAGGGGATGGAAAGATTGCGCCAAAAAAGCCTGTCTTAAAAGAAAGCTCTCATCAATGCATTGGCCTTGAATTAACAATATATTATTTATTTATATGCTATTTATTTTTCTCCTCCACTACCATTAGGAAAAGATGGTTAACAAAATTATTTCCCTGGTGTAACAAATTGATAAGCATTTCCAGAAAACAGTTAAGCCATATGCCTTTAAACCTTCATCTCAAAAACCAAAACAGGGGCTGGGAAGATGGCTCAGCAGCTAAAAGCATGTACTGCACTTGTAGAGGACTGGACCTCCGTTCCCAGCACCCATGATAGGTGGCTCACAACTGCCTGTAATTCCAGCTCCAGAGAATTCAACACCCTTCTTCTGGCTCCCTGGGGTACTTCCACACATTTGCACATACGTATGTACACACACACACACACACACACACACACACACACACACATAAATCCTTTTAAAATGAACAAAAACTTACTTGTGTCCTGTGACTCAGCAATCCCAATTACAAAACAAAAGAGTCACAATCATAATAGCAAAACAGATAAAATACCAAAAAAAGGGGAGGGTACTGTTTATAACAGTGTTGTTTTTTAAATTATTTTGAGGGGCAGCACTAGTGATTGAACCTAGGGTCTCACATACAAAAGACAAGTGCTCTACCACCAAACTATATCCCCATCCATTCTCAGATTCCGGAGTGGCTGGAATTAACAGTGTGCCACTAGGCCTGGGAAGTACTGGGTTGTTTTTTGATGTTGTTTTGTTTTTTGAGACAGGGTCTCCCTGTAGCCTCCATTGTCCTAGAACTCACTATGTACTCCAGACTGACTTTGATCTCACAGAAATCTACCTGCCCCTGCCTCTGAAGTGCTGGAATTAAAAGTGTGTGCCACCATGCCCAGCTACAAGAAGTGTTATTTGTAATAGCAAACAATTAGAAACAATAAAAACATCTACTATTAGATGGAACACCCATTCAATATGTTATTAAACTTTTTAAAACATAAATGAATGATCTAATATTAAGAAAAAATCAAAACACAAATGCAAATCAAAAGCACTTTGAGATTTTTATCCTATGCCAGTCATAACAGTCAAGATTAAAAAAAAAAAAGATAAAAAATGCTAGCAAAGGGAAAAGGAAACACTTCTTCACTGCTGGTGGGAGTACAAACGGGTGTAGCCAATCAGTGTGGAAGTGCCTCAGAAACCTAGAAATAGGGCTGGCAAGATGGTTCAGTGGGTAAAGACACTTGCCACCAAGGCTGACAACCTGGGTTCAGTCCCTGAGACCCACGTGGCGGAAGGAGAGAACTGACTCCTGCAAGGTCATTATGTAAATGTGCCACATTTTCTTTTTTAATTTTTAAAAAATATTTTATTATTTTTATTTTATGTGTATGAGTGTATTGCCGGAATGTGAGTGCACCTATGTATTGCAGTGCTGTGGAGGTCAGAAGAGGGCATCAGAGTCCCCTGAAACTGGCGTTAAGGATAATTCTTAGCTGCCATGTGGGTACTGAGAATCAAACCTGGATCCTCTGCAAGAGCAGTCAGTGCTCCTAACCACTGAGCCATCTCTCCAGCCCCAGTAAATGTACCACATTTTCATTATCCATTCATCAGTTGGTGGATATCTATGTTGTTTCTATTTCCTTGTGTATTAGTCACTTTTCTATTGCTGTGATAAAACACCATAACCAAGGCTACTCATAGATGGAAGAGTTTATTTGGGCTTACAGTTCCCAAGGGCTGAGTCCATCGTGGCAGGGAAGCATGCTAGCAAGCAGCAGGCGTGGTGGCTGGAGCAGGAGGCTGAACACTCACATCTCCAAGAGCAAACAGGAAGTAGAGAGGGAGACTGGAAGTAGAAGTAGGCTATGAACTGTCAAAGTCCCCTCCCAGTGCTGGGAACCAAACTAGGGTCTTCTGGAAGAGCAGCAAGTGTTCTTAGTCACTTAGACACCTCATCAGCTGCAGTATACGACATTTACATTTTTTGTTTTAATAGAGCCGGGTTTGGTGGTGATTGCCTATAATCCCAGCACCTGGGAAGCAGAGGCAGGTGGATCTCTGTGAGATGGAAGCCAGCCTTATCTCCACAGTGAGTTCCAGGCCTGCTGGGACTACAGGGAGACCCTGTCTCTAAAAGAGAAAAACAAATTTTTGTTTTAAATAATAACAATACCATAGCCATTTAACGATATCCTATTATATCTTAAACATCATGACAGGGGGTTTGCGAACATTCATTTAATCCTTACAGTAACCTCACAAACTAGGCATTACTTCGTCTTACAGATGAGGGAACTGAGCCTCAAAACAGTTAGTTACTTGACACAGTTTGTGAGACTGACCATTTTATACCACCTCATAGCTGTTACCTTGCATCTGAATTTCAGCTTCAATAGCACCATTTAATTGTCAAGCATTATTTGAATTCTTAGTCGTCTAGGATTAAAAAACACAGTTGGGAGATACCACAATTTAGGTAATTTGGGCGATAGTATATATAACATACAAAGGTGGAAAGAAGGTGGGAGCTGTGTAAAAGCCAATGTTTCCCCTTTTTTTAAATGCAGAAAATCATCCCTAAATATTTTCAAATACCTTTGTTAGTTTCTTTCTTTTTTAATAATATCACAATATAAAAAAGTGCAATTGTGGGGCTGAAGAGATAGCTCAGTGAGTACGAGCACGGGCTGCTTTTACAGAGGACCCGGAATTAATTCCCAGCACCCACATGCCAGCTAGCAACAGTCTGTAACGCCAGTTCCAGGGGAGCCAAGACCCTTTTCTGACCTCGGCAGGCATTACACAACACACCCATGTAGCAATGCACTCATACACAAAAATAAATAATAAATTAAAAAGTGCAATTGTTTGGGTGGTATCAGATATAGCATAATGAAACAAGAAATAAACCACATGTACCTCAGCTACCCACCAGAGAGAGCCCTTTACAGCAGGCACAACTGGCCCTATCTAGTTCCACATTTCTATATGTATCTCTCCATATTCCTTATAAAATATATTTTGAATCCAACAGTAAGCTGAAATCCTAGGCAACTCAAAAGAGTCTTGAACTTCCTTTAACACTAGTCAGAGGAAGAAAATAGGATATATGTAATACTTTCCAAAAGCATCATTTCTACAGAACATATGGTGAGGTCTCATTTATCAGATCCATACAACCGAGCATACAAAAAAGGCAAAATAAGAACTGTCAGTCCTGGAGCTAAGGAACCAGTGCCCAAAAGCAAAGCACAAAATTAGTGTGTTAATTGTTAGAAAAATAACCTAGTACCTGATCCGATCAGGAATTATGTAACGAGATAACTCAGGGAAAAGGGAACATTCAAAAATAGAATTTGGGATCCTACCTCCTAGTGTGATTTTGGTCAAGACAGTGAGACCATTATTAGGTAATACACTTGGCTGAACATAAATTAGAACATAATAATCACCAGAGCACCCTACTCTTGACCCAAGGCTTTAAAACTCTATTCCACTTCCACACTATTGTAATTCCTTTGGAAAAACAAAAACACCAGACCACATTCACAGTATTAAAGGAATTATCTGAGTCTGTCAATAACGATGCTCTTGAGAGAGAGAACTTTAACGATATTTACAACAGCCACTAGTCACGTGTGGCTATTGAGGACTTAGCAAGTAGCTAGTGCAACTAAGGAACTGGGTTTTCAATTTCACTTCATCTGAACTGGTATTTACTTAGCACACATGGTTTGAGTCTATGGTATGGGCCCCATAGTCCTAGATGCTACAAATTTTTTAGCAAATAAAACACATTTTTAACAATGAAGCTTTTCTTTTTAAAGACACAGCCAAATATCCAGGAAATCATTATTTGCTCAAAAATTCTGTTTCTCTGGGTAAATCCACAAGGCCAATAATGACCTATCTCCATTCATTAAAGACAAGAGAAAATATTCAGTGGTAATCCTAACTTCCAGTTTTCATGTCTTTTTGTTTAGTCCTGGAATTACTCTTTATATTTTCCTGTGAGGCTATTCCTTTCTTACCTTAAACTTAAATAATATTAATAATTTCTCCTGTTTTTCAGTCTTCTCTCACTGGACAGATCTCATATCCTGATGATCTGGTCTTCCCATCCTCTAGACTGGGAGAAATTGACTTTTTCCAGATCTTTAGACAACTACAACAAAGACATTTCAGAGTGCAATATCATAGAACACCTTAATTATAATGGTCCAATGAGCAAAAACAAAAAACAACAACAAAACACTGATTCTGGGAGTCAGGAAGAATTTAAGACTGAAAATGTACGGATGAGGCGCATTTCCCCTGAACAGCTTTCCCAGGTCCATTCATGAAGAAAATCCCTCACTTCAGAAGGTTCCAAAGACTTTTCTGTGTGAATTTTGCGATGCTGACTGAGGTAGGCACTTCTGCTGAAGCATTTCTCACAGTCAGCACATTTGTAAGGTTTCTCTCCTATGTGGGTCCTCTGGTGCCTGATCAGGTTGAAACTCTGACTGAAGCGTTCACCACAGTCAGGACATTTATAAGGTTTCTCTCCCGTGTGTGTCCTTTGGTGAATCACTAGGGTAGAGCTCTGACTGAAAGTTTTCCAGCACTCAGAACACCTATAAGGCTTTTCTCCAGTATGTGTTCTCTGATGTCTAATGAGATGGGAGCTAAGGCCAAAGCATTTCCCACATTCACAGCATTTATATGGCTTCTCTCCTGTTTGGACTCTGCATTCTTCTATCACACTGTAACTCTGATGCACTCTTTCTTCTTTTTCAGTATTTCCATAGGATTTCCCTTCTATGTGCATTTTCCGGTGTGTTATAAGGTTTGAACTTCGACTGAAGGTCTTTCCACACTCTGGACACAGATAGGGCTTTTCTCCTGTATGTATTCTCTGATGCTTTATTAGAGTAGAATTACAACTGAAGCTTTTTCCACATTCAAGACATTTGTAAGGCTTTTCACCTGTGTGTGTCCGCTGGTGGCGAATGAGACTGGAACTCTGACTGAAGCTCTTTCCACAATCAGGGCACCTGTAGGGTTTTTCTCCAGTGTGAGTCCTCTGGTGTTCTATTAGAACATAGCTGTGACTGAAGCCTTTTCCACAAACAGGACATTCGTAAGGCTTTTCACCAGTATGTGATCTGTGATGCTGAATAAGGTGTGAGCTGCTACTGAAACTCTTTCCACAGTCAGGACATTGATAGGGCTTCTCTCCTGTGTGAGTTCTCTCATGGATAATAAGATGGGAAGTATTACTGAAATTTTTCCCACACTCACCACACTGGTAGGGCTTCTCCCCTGTGTGTATTCGCAGATGCTGAATCAGGTGAGAACTGTTACAAAAGCATTTCCCACATTCAGAACATATATAAGGCTTTTGTCTTGAGTGGCTCTTCTGGTGTGTATACAAGTGAGAATTATTGCTGAAGCTTTTCCAACATTGAGAACATTTGTAGGATTTCCCTCCAAAGGAGGAATTCCCCTGGACAGATGTGTTGACATCTTCTCTTGGATCCCATTCTCCATGATGGGGTTTTTCCTCCTCTTTCTCTATAGAATGTTCCCAAATCTCTGATTTACCATCATTCTCATAAGAATCATGACACCAAACCTTATCTCCATAAGACCATGCTGGCATTTCTTCTGTATCTTCATACTTAGAATTTTGTGGACCATGTCTTTTAGACCATTTTGGCACCTTCTCCTTTAGCTGATCTGCCTTAATTTTATTGTTTAGAAGAGTTTCTAAATTATTCTTATTTTCATCTCCTGAAAAAATAATTTTAAAAGTTAACAAAACATATTCACTAATCTTGCCAGACAAATTCTGAATTAAAGTGAGAAAAATAACAATGTAAAACCTCATATTTTATGTAAAAACTTAAAAATTTTTTGAGATTATGTATATGTATGTATGTATGTATGTATGCATGCATGCATGCATGGGGAGTAATTTGCAAGTGAGTGCAGGTGCCTGAGGAGGCCAGCTGACCTCCAATTCCATGGAGCTAGGGCTACAGGCAGTTGTGATTCACCTGATATGGACACGAGGAACCAAACTCAGGCTCTCCACAAGAGTAGTATGCTTTTTTTTTTTTTTTTTTTTTTTTTTTTTTTTTGTCTTTTTGAAACAGGGTCTCCCATAGCCCCAGCTAGCCTGGAGCTCACTATGTAGACTAGGCAGGCCCCAAACTCACATAGATCCACCTGCCTTGGCCTCCCGAGCGCTGGGACTACAGGCGTGTACCACCACACCAGGCCATAGTATGCACGTTTAATAGCTGAGCCATCTCTACAGCTCCTATAACAATGTTTTGGTTTGGGGGAAGGGGCGTTTTTATTTTTTTAAAACAGGGTCTCACTATATAGGCCAGGTTGGCCTGGAATTCATAGAGATATGCCTGTCTCTGCCTGCTGAGTGCTGGGACTACAGGGCTGTACCACCATGCCTGGCTCTATGTTTTTATTTGTTTTTGTTGTTGCTGTTGGGTGGTTTGCTTTTGTTTGTTTGTTTTGTTTTATTAGACAGGGTCTCTCTGTAACCCAACTGGCCTGGAACTTACTATGTAGATCAGGCTAGCCTTGATCTCACAGAGATCTGTCTCCTCGGACTCCCAAGTGCTGGGATTAAAGGCATGTGCTACTACACCTGGCTTTATAATAATGTTTTTTGTTTATATTTTATGTGTATGATGTACTACCTGCATGTATGTAAGTGCACTCAAGTCATACAATGCCTACAGAAGTCAGAGGAGGGTGTCAGACCCCCTGAAGCTGGAGTTACAGACAATTGTTAGCCACCATGTGGGTGCTGGGAATCAAACCTAGGTCCTCTGCAAGAACAGTGTTCTTAACTGCTGAGCTATCTCTCAGCCCCTATAGTATTGTTTTTAAAGCTAGTTTTTCTTCTTTTACTCTGTGTGTTTCCTAGTAGCAGGTGAATTTGTTGTTCTTATTCATTTCACAAATGAAGCATTTGAACTATTGCAAGAAAATCCCAAGGGAGCTATCAATCTAAAAATTAGTGCATTTAGCTTTATTCTTGAAGATTTAAAAGGAGAAAAGGGACCTGAACCTAAACAGAATGCTGTGTGAGGTTAAAAACTAGACAATATCTCAGTTAAAATATGAGCAAAAATAGAAATAATAGATACTAACAAGAAGAGAAGCTTTGCATTTATCTAATTAATCATAAATATATACCAGATAGATATTATTCCTTTTATTCTTAAAGGTGAGAAAACTGAGTTACCAACCTACAAGTGACACAGCACAGAATCAAAATCAAGTTTATCTCATTTGAACATCCTGTCTCTTCTAAGCAATATCTATAACATCTTATAACAAATTTCCTAAGGATTGAGATCTTGATCCCTCACCTGTAAAGATGCTTTTCAAACTCTCCCACTTTGGGAAATTTGAATCTGAGAACAACAGCTCTTTTCCTTGCTCCATCACAATGACCACACCCAGGCTAAGGATGGAAAGTCCTGCAGAAGGAAGCAGTGGTCATTGTTAGAGATATTTGGAGAAGTTTAGTTCTTCATCTTCCTTCCCAACCATCACAACAATATAATGAAACATGATCCTTAGAAGTCAGTTTTTAAAAAACTTATCCTAGATGGAAGTATTCAGAATTAAGAGTTAACCTCCTAGCCGGGCATGGTGGCACATGCCTTTAATCCCAGCACTTGGGAGGCAGAGGCAGGCAGATCTCTGTGAGTTCGGAGCCAGCCTGGTCTACATAGTGAGGTCCAAGACAGCTGGGGCTACAGGGAGACCCTGTCTCAAAAAGACAAAAATTTTTTTTTCAACCTATTTCTATTACAATTAAATAGTAGAATTATTTTTAATAATTTCATTTTAATGAAATTTTAAACTTCAGCATAGCATTTATAACGATAATTTATATTACTAGCTATTATAACTGTCTTTGCTTTAAAGCCTGATGACTGATGATCAAGTTTCAAAGAGAGAATGAACATCCATGAAGGCTTAGAAATTCTTTTAATTGAAAAGAACAAGGTTTTTGTTTTTGAAAGGCACTAATACTAAAACGTAAAGATATCAAGGAAGCCATATGCAGGTCCAAGGAGCAGCTAAAGAGAGAGGTTCTTGTTGAGGTTTGAAGCCACTTTCAAAGGGACACTTATATAATCCCTAACAAGCAATTAAGAGAAAGCAGGTCTAGAATAATTTTATCCACTTACTCCTAAATAAAAAAGAGAGTCGAAAAAGGGACTTCCCCCTTTCCTGCTCTTAGATTCTAAGTCTATCATAACCACAATGTGTATGTCAGCCTAAGCTATCTTCTGGAGCTAACTGCAATCCCTGGCCTACTTTAAGGGACTAGGAAATGTGACCTGCCAGTGGAAGGTACTTAGATACAGGTGAGGCATCCCTTTCGGTGTGTAAAGAGTAGCAAGATTAGGGGCGGGGTGAGGGGGGCCTGAATGGATGACAGAAGCATACACAAGTGGTCATTCTTTCCCTACTATGTACTGCTTATGTACCAAGTAGTGAACTAAGTAACATGTTCCTAATTCTCACAACTGGCCAAAGTTGTTATCTTTAAAATCTGTAAACAGTATCCTATGGATGGAGTAGTGAACTAAGTAACATGTTCCTAATTCTCACAACTGGCCAAAGTTGTATGACAATTTTAGATCTTTAAAATCTGTAAACAGTATCCTATGGATGGTTTTATAGCTGTTTCACAAGGCACTAAGACGTTTTCCTAAGGTCACACAGCCAGAAAAGGGTAGAGCAGGATTGGTTCCCGAGCTGACTGGACGTTCGCTTTGACAGCACCTATTACAGTAAGGCACAGCAGGAAGGGGCACTGAGCATAAACCCCAACTGCAAAGGATGCTCAATAGTTTTACAAACATCTGCATTCCCAAACGTTAAATCCCAGTGAGCCAACAATCATACACAGCAACTAAAAACCGGCTTGTATAAAGGTGAAAGAGATTGAAATTACATCCAGTTTTTGACGAAAACAAAAACTACACACCTGATGCAAACAAAACAAAGAACCCTAAATCACACACACAAAAAGGATAGTTTTCCAAATGCCAAAATGTTTTGCTATCTCAGTTACACAAAGAGCGTGTCGCAGATTCCCATCTCACCACTTTCCCTGGATTATCATTAAATCTGGTAGTAAAGGAGCCCTGGCTTTGCAAAACAGGCAAATCCAGGTCATGGATGGAACTCAAAGGTAGTTCTTAAGGTGTCACTGCACAGAGAACAGCCGCTTTCACTACTCTGGGGCGGGCGAACAGGTGGTGCGGGTGGGGCTGTGCCTGGCTTTCCTGCACCTGGGCGCTGGCGTGCACTGTGGAGCCCGGGAGGCTGGCACATCCGCGCGGACGCGCTTGCCAGCCTAGGGGACTTAACTGAAGAACCCGAGGAGCAGAGGTGCTGCGCCTGCGCCCGGCAAGCCACGGGGCCCTCTCCCGGGATGCACCCCGGATGCTGCGGGACCCGCGCCTCCTTTCCCCACAGAAACTCACTGTTTCAGGGCTTGCACAGTGGGCGCCGGGCACCCCGAGTCGCTCCAGAGGTCCTGGAGGAAGGTAGCCCGCCCCTTCAGACCCCACCAGCCTCCAACCCGGAAGACAGAAACAGGAAGTACCCCCAACACCGTCCGTGGCTGGCTTTGCCGCGGCCTCTCTAGGAAACAGGGGTGGGCAAGTCTCGTTCACCTTAACCCTTAGGATCACGGAGAATTCCCTTCTGGTGAGGTGATTCACGCGCTGTGATCCTCTTTCTCTGTGATCCTATCCTCAGTATAGGGCCTGGCTGGAGATGGTACTTCCCTTCCATCAGGGCATTACCAGGTTCATCATCACAGTCACCACCATCAGCCCCCGAATCAAAATAAAATATTTAAGCTCTTGTTTCAGCTCCCATCACTGAACACAGGCGTGTGTTTTTCTATCTAAAACAGCTTAAGCACCAGTTGCTTAATAAGTTGCTATAATCAAGGCAACCTTATTAGTAACCCTTGGAGACGCAGGCGCCATCTCATCGCAGAGAGAAAGGACAGTGAAGGCGGATTCCTTCACCTCGCCCCGCCAAGCACACAGATCTCAAGTCGGCCCTGTCGTTCTTTCTTCCCTCTTGCTCCAATAGAGGCTCACTTCTTCACACTTTAAAACAAGCGCTCCACCTGTACATTTTCTTCCTTCTTGGAAACGTCATACTACCAACGAAGCCCTTGAGTTCCCCCATCACATCCCATGGTCCCTCTGTCTTTCCTTTTAGAGTGTTTTCATTTCCTCACGTCTTCACTTACCTTGATTTTTCTTCAGAGACAACAAATCGCTGGCACCACCAGTGGCCTCCTGGTCCTTAGTGCAATTGATACTGTCAGTTCTGTTTCTTTTTCCCCACTCCTTTTTTCTAGAAACACTTCTGAGGTAATGCTGCATTTTTCTCCAACATCTCAAGTCAGTCTTGCTCCTCTACTGCAGAAGTCTAGTCTTCTCTATATGTGGAGGTTCTTCAAGGTCACTCTGTCACCTCCTCTATCACTGATGTTTTCTATGTTGGCTATCGTACTCACTCCCACATTTTCAAGTACCACGCACATAGACAACAATGGACATCTCCAGCCAGGCTGCCTGCTTGCCCTTTTCACGCTTTCAGCCAGTGATCTGCTAGCTTCTCATATCGGAGGCCTAATGCCACCTCGAAGCTAAAATTGAGGCAAGAGAGATAGGGAAATTTGGGGGACATGAGAAGAGAGAGGAGCTCCTCATCCTGGAGTGTAACTAACCAAAATCTTCAATTATGCCTAATAAACTGGCTAGTCTTGACATTCTTTTCAGTGTTGAAGTCAGCTGAGAAGCACGAATTCAACATTTGCTGTAAAGGCTGCTGACAGTGCTAATATTTCCTTCTTGTATAGATAGTTTATGTTAAAGTAGCAATGACCCAGGCTTAGTGCCTGAATGCATATGACCTTGGGGCCTTATTCTTTTCCTCAGACATTGCAGAGAACAGCAAACAAAATTGTTCATAGAGGCTGGAGAGTTGGCTCAGTGGTTAAGAGTGCTTGCTGCTCTTGCAGAGAACAGGCGTTCCATTTCCAGCACCCACTGAGGGCAGATCATAATCACCTGTAACTCCTACTCCAGGATATCCAAAGTCCTCTCCTCCCCTCCAAAGGCACATGCACACACACACACACACACACACACACACACACACACACACAAATCTTTAAAAGCAACCTGTTTACAGTAAAGATATCCTACTTTCTTGTATCTCTGTGGGCTAAATTTTTACCTCATCAGCTGTAATCTTGTCAGATGACCCCCAGGAATCACCCAGTGAAAAATAGTAGCATCAAATCCCCCCAAAACCCTACATATGACTATTGTATAAGCAATGAAGGGAGGCCCTTTTAGAGACACCCATACCCACACTTGGGTACACCCCACATTCTGCTGCTCCTCCTTGAGAAGCCCACACCCATGTTTTAGGGTATACCTTGCTTTCTTCTGAGCACCTCCCTTTCTCCTAATCCTCATGCCTAAGCCTAGCATCTTTAATAAAATCTTCAATTATGCTTCATAAACTGACTAGTCTTGAAACTCTGTTCAGTTCCAAAGTCATAGATCCTGGTTTGGCCTGAATAGAGGTTCCTAAAACCCTAGAAGAACACCTCAGGCTAGGGTAACCTTGGGAAGCCACACTTCCTTTACCTGAACACCAGAAATCTGGAAAATGCCAAAACAAGGTCATTATCTTCTCTCACTATTCTTTCCATATACATACATAAACAGAAAATAAAATATGCATGTTCCTCTCCCGGCATTCTTTCTCTCAAGCATATATCCAGATGTTCAGAAACCCAGATGTTCCTCTTGTCAGCTCCTTATCAGCCATATTGTCTATTGTGTACTTCATAAATAATTCTCAAATCCAGATGCTTCTCCCAACTACCACCTCCCTTAACTGTAGCAACCACGATCCCATGGTGAAGGATTTCCATAGCCTCCTGACAATCTTATTGATGTACATCTTTGCTCCTTTATCCACTTTTCTCATTCAATCCACAGGAATCCTTTCAAAAGATAAATCTGACTCTGTTACCTTCCTTTACCTAACTGAACCTATATGTACCCCACATATTTCAGCTCTTCACAAGAGCTTCCCATTCCCTTCTTCACAGAGTCAAATACCTGAGACCTTATTTAGCTTCATAGCCTTATCCACTGTAGTCCATCTCATGACCTTCCTTTGAGTTGTTGGCCAGGATAGTCCAAGAGACTTCCAAAATTACACAGGCTGTTGCCACAGTCCTTGATTACCTCCCAGAACTCAATGGTAAAACCCTATTGCTGAAGAAAGAATGTACTTTGGACACAGGATTCGGAGTAACAGAGCTGGAAATGACCTGGAAGCTACCTCCCCTGAAGGCTAGCTCTTATAGCTTTGGAGAGCACCCTGCAAGCTGCTAAGGGAGAAAATCAATCTATGGTCCAATCCCAGCTTCAAGGCCTAAAAACCACACCAATGACCAGCACAGCAAACAACATTGGTACAGTAGTGGCATTTTTATCTTGAGGGTAATCAGCAGCTACCAAATTGGACTTAAAGTCCACTCAATGGGAGGAAACTCATGTGTGGTACTGTAAAGCCTAGCCAAATCCACAAAGCTAGAGAGGTCATAGATCTTAGAGAAAACCCCAAGGCTGTCACATCCCTAGACAAATGTAATTTCTTACTATGTGCAAAATATGGATCCTTAAATTTACAGATCCATCTTAGTCACCACCCAAAGAAGCTTCTTTTTCAACAGACAGAGATAATTATAGAGTTTCACATCTGGTCACACACAGAGATTGTCTGTGAACTGCCCAAGCCTAAATGGTACATCTATGATATAGCCTCTACACCCAAGGCTCACGGAACATAGAACAAGGGATGAAGAAAACACTAATGCATCTTTCAATTCTTATCAATGGAGCTCCCTCATGCAACAGAGGGCCAGGAATGCAAAAAGTCACCAATGGTCAAAACGTAGAGAATAAGAGTTTACAGAGTGTGGGTCCTTGGACAGGACTCGTATATTAAAATTCACCCACCCAGGGTTCAGGAACTATTTTGGAAGAGGAGGCAGAAAGATTGTAAGACCCAGGGAGGAGGTACTTGACCATATGGAAATAGAGTCCTACAGGCTCCTGGGACTCTTCTCATAGGAACCTACAGCAATGTTGTCAGGATGCATAAGACCCATGCAAACTCAAGCAGACAAAAATCCAGCACAGAACTGTGGAAATGAACAGCAGGCCTCAATCTTAGTCGAAGAATTATTGGCAGCTAATTACCGCTGGGTGAGGAAGAGCTGATCTTCTTAGGGACTCTGGATAGGCTGATTAGACCTCAGTGGATGAACTTGCACTGAGGGACATCTGGGGACACTAACTTGACATGCTAGGCCTTAACAGAAATGACAGAATGTATGAATTCATGTGGGGGGGCTATGGGAGGGGACCAATGCGTGTACAAAGATGATTAAGATGTTTTGTATGAAATATACAAAAAATTCAATTTAAAAATTAAAAAAAAAGAAATAATGCACAAGAAACAGCATCAGTTGCCATAGAGAGAAGTGCTCAATGAATGAGGGCCAGGGAGGGAAGATATATTTTGTTGCATGTACACATGTTTTGGAATTGTTTAGAAAGCTGATACTGAGAGTGTAGTGTCTAGCATGTTTATTAGAGAATGCACCTGGGATCCACATCTGTGAAAAGGAGAGAAGACAATCAAGATTGAACAGAAGTGGGGTGGGGATTGACCTGGGATTGAGGCCTAACAACAGCTTCCTCCATAAAACCCACTGAGGTTTCAGGAATCCAAATGATCTGTTTAACAGTTACTTGCTCTGGGCCAAACTGGCCAGGCTAGATCAGTCCATGGATATGGGCTTCCAGAAAGGCTATATTGTCTGCAAGTGAAGCAATCTCTGCAGGGTTGGCTGCTGCCAGCCCTCTGCTACAGCCCTTTCTGAAGTTGGTCAGTAAGTCCTTCCTTGATGGGCATCTGGGCAACTACCTCTTGGCCATCACTCATGATGGATATGACCTGGACTCATTTCCCATCTTTTTTACTCTGCTCTTTATTGTTTCTTGAGCTTGCCAAACATTTTCCTGCCTCCAGGCATTTTCTGCTACTTTTCTCTATCTGACTTTGTTCTTCCCTTAAATAATAGGATGGCTTACAATATCGCCTTCCTTCATATTTCTGTCCAAATATCCTCTTATTTGAAAGGACTTCCTTGGTAATATTAAACAAAACAACGCACTGTCACTGGCATAGTCTAATGTCTATATCTTTAATTTGCTTATTTCTTGTTCCAATACTGGTTACTCCTGACATTAGTTTGCTCATCCTCTTGCTGGGATTGTATGTGTACACAACCACGCACAGCTTAACATATATTTCTTGATTTACTGTTTTTGCTATTATTGCTAGTTCCTGTATTGTGTGGTGTTCACTACTGTGTCCTTCTTGCCTAAGATAATTCAGTAACAGCCACATATAGACTTGTAACAAATGTGTATTAGATGAAGGAAGGAAGGAATCAGATACCGT